TAAAAAGTATGTTTCATTTATTACTGAGATAGCATTGCAGTGAGTTACAATTAGTGGCAGCACATGGCGGTCATCATTTGATGGCAGCACATAGCAGCCAACATTTGGTGGCAGTACATGGCGGTCATCATTTGATGGCAGCACATAGCAGCCAACATTTGGTGGCAGCACATGGCGGTCATCATTTGATGGCAGCACATAGCAGCCAACATTTGGTGGCAGCACATGGCAGCACATGGCAGCCAACATTTGATGGCAGCATGTGGCAGTCATCATTTGGTGGCAGCACGTGGCAGCCAACATTTGATGACAGCACATGGCAGCCAACATTGATAGCAGCACATGGTAGCCAACATTTGGTGGCAGCACATGGCGGCCAACATTTGATGGCAGCACATGGCAGCGGTCACTATTTGATGGCAGCACATGGCAGCCAACATTCGGTGGCAGCACATGGCAGCCAACATTTCATGGCAGCACATGGCAGCCAACATTTGATGGCAGCATGTGGCAGTGATCATTTGGTGGCAGCACGTGGCAGCCAACATTTGATGGCAGCACATGGCAGCCAACATTTGATAGCAGCACATGGTAGCCAACATTTGGTGGCAGCACATGGCGGCCAACATTTGATGGCAGCACATGGCGGTCACTATTTGATGGCAGCACATGGCAGCCAACATTCGGTGGCAGCACATGGCAGCCAACATTTCATGGCAGCACATGGCAGCCAACATTTGATGGCAGCATGTGGCAGTGATCATTTGGTGGCAGCACGTGGCAGCCAACATTTGATGGCAGCACATGGCAGCCAACATTTGATAGCAGCACATGCTAGCCAACATTCGGTGGCAGCACATGGCAGCCAACATTTAGTGGCAGCACATGGCAGCCAACATTTCATGGCAGCACATGGCAGCCAACATTCGGTGGCAGCACATGGCAGCCAACATTTGATGGCAGCATGTGGCAGTCATCATTTGGTGGCAGCATGTGGCAGCCAACATTTGATGGCAGCACATAGCAACCAACATTTGATGGCAGCACATGGCAGCCAACATTTGGTGGCAGCACATGGCGGCCAACATTTGATGGCAGCATGTGGCAGTCATCATTTGATGGCAGCACATGGCAGCCAACATTTGGTGGCAGCATGTGGCAGTCACTATTTGGTGGCATCACATGACAGCCAACATTTGGTGGCAGCACATGGCAGCCAACATTTGATAGCAGCACATGGCAGCCAACATTTGATAGCAGCACATGGCAGCCAACATTTAGTGGCAGCACATGGCGGCCAACATTTGATGGCAGCATGTGGCAGTCATCATTTGATGGCAGCACATGGCAGCCAACATTTGATGGCAGCACATGGCAGCCAACATTTGATGGCAGCACATGGCAGCCAACATATGGTGGCATCACATGGCAGCCAACATTTGGTGGCAGCACATGGCGGCCAACATTTGATGGCAGCATGTGGCAGTCATCATTTGGTGGCAGCACATGGCAGCCAACATTTGATGGCAGCACATGGCGGCCAACATTTGATGGCAGCACATGGCAGCCAACATTTGATGGCAGCACATGGCGGCCAACATTTGATGGCAGCACATGGCAGCCAACATTTGGTGGCAGCACATGGCAGCCAACATTTGGTGGCAGCATGTGGCAGTCACTATTTGGTGGCAGCACATGGCAGCCAACATTTGATGGCAGCACATGGCGGCCAACATTTGATGGCAGCACATGGCAGCCAACATTTGATGGCAGCACATGGCAGCCAACATTTGGTGGCAGCACATGGCAGCCAACATTTGGTGGCAGCACATGGCAGCCAACATTTGGTGGCAGCATGTGGCAGTCACTATTTGGTGGCAGCACGTGGAGGTCATCATTTGGTGGCAGCATGTGGAGGTCATCATTTGGTGGCGGTATGTGGAGATCATCATTTGGTGGCGGCACATGGCAGTCACTATTTGGTGGCGACACATGGCAGTCAGTATTTGGTGGCAGCACATGGCAGTCACTATTTGGTGGCAGCACATGGTGGTCACTATGTGGTGGCAGCACATGGCAGTCACTATTTGGTGGCATCACATGGCAGTCACTATTTGGTGGCATCACATGGAAGTCACTATTTGGTGGCAGCACATGGAAGTCACTATTTGGTGGCAGCACATGGCAGTCACTATTTGATGGCAGCACATGGCGGTCACTATTTGGTGGCAGCACATGGCAGGCACTATTTGGTGGCAGCACATGGCAGTCACTATTTGGTGGCAGCACATGGAAGTCACTATTTGGTGGCAGCACATGGCAGTCACTATTTGATGGCAGCACATGGCGGTCACTATTTGGTGGCAGCACATGGCAGTCACTATTTGGTGGCAGCACATGGCAGTCACTATTTGGTGGCAGCACATGGCAGGCACTATTTGGTGGCAGCACATGGCAGTCACTATTTGGTGGCATCACATGACAGCCAACATTTCGTGGCACATAGAGCTATTCCTCAGTTACATTGAGTGTTCTTTTACCTGCACTGAGAGTAACATGAGCAACAGTGTCCCTTACGAGTGGACACCATATTCCCAGTACAAACACCACAAGCAAGGCATGTGGGCAGTATGTGTTCCTGAGTAAAAAGACGCCCACACGATTCAAAATCGCAATCTCCATGATCTTGGCAAACAAGCTAACAAATAAACCACATATCACTAAAAATCTACCACTAGAGGGCGGAGTCAACCAAGTACATGTATAAAGGTAACAAATACAATATCTCAGAATACAACATAATATCTTACCTGTACGTGATTACATATACTATCTAATTTGTCATTATAATCTATTTCATCTATAGAATAATAATAATAAAAAAAAAAAAAGTATTACATGAATATCACTACTGGCAAAAGTGGTAGATGGGCACAAGAAAATCTCAGTCTCTCAGAATTATTCTCAATACATTAATGTCGTTTCATTGGCCCTTTTCACTTACTGAGCAAATCATCAAAAACAAAATCCATTAGAAATACTTATGAATGAATATAAAGTACATTACATACATCAATCCTAATTACAGTATTTAGCTGAGCTAACAGAAAAATGAAACTTGTCTAAATTGAACACCAAACATTCAGAAAATTGTTCTGTTCATTGAATTGGATGATAGTTTTAAAGATCTACTGATCAAGTCAACTACATGTACTTTAATGATCTACTGATCAAGTCAACTACATGTACTTTCGAACATAAAAAAACAACTGCTTCAGCATATGAGTGAAACATTGCAATTGTTTTATACCAGCAATTAGTACATGTACATGTATAATATGTGACAATAATGTATTTATGTGAGTATGTACAGATGCTAAAAAAGTATTAGTTATTCACGAAGTTTTAACTTCGCTATTTGTTGCTGCTAAGCAAGTCAAATTACAATAGCACTCATTCTTTAACTGAAAAATTTTGAATTTAAAACACATTGAATTTGTACCGGTAAATATCAGTAAAAATTTATGCTATTACTGTAACCTAGATACACAGAATCAAACATTTTATTATGTGATTAGCAAATGTAATAGTTGAACGACATCATTTACCTAAAGATACCCTCATAGAACGAGGCAGGCACGTTAACATCTCAATATAATTCTTGTAAATGCCTTCATGCGCCGACAGTAAAATATTACAGATGTATCGATGCATTTGTGTGGCTTGAATGATTTTCTCTATGGGTACGGCATATCTGGAACTCTGCACAAGAAAGATATGAAACCAGAAATTGAAACATAGCTAGCCAGAAAAAGCAAGATAGATATACTATTAAAATGTGGTATCCAAATCTGAACTGAAAAGCGCCCTCATGATTGGATTTGCACTATTTATTGGGCAATTAAAATATCTCAATTTTAATTCAATCGACAAAACTAAACATACAACCAGACATAATACACAAAATCAACTTTGTAGCTTTGTTCGTTTATTTTTATTTTTAAAAAAGCAAGCATTTTATTTATTTATATTTAATACATCATTAATTCAAAGACCTTTCCAAATAGAAACAATTAGAAAATTAGAAAACATTTTCAAAAGAGTGTCAAGAACAACCATTTTTAAATGTAAAAAACATATTTTTATACTGTAGAACTGGAAATTTTCTCACAAAGCATTTTGGGGTAAGCAATTTTGCACAGCAATGTATCAGAAATGAAACTCTTTTTAAACAATAAGAACAGACTTTATTTTAATACATGGTTAGAACGATGGTTTAATAAAATACTAGTATAATCATAGACTCTATTGTACAATAAAAATATATTCCAGTGATCAAGAACTCTGGTATAAAATACATGCAATGTGAAATGCTTTCTACATCAACATTTTAGCATCAATCATAGTTGCAATAATTTGCATACAATTTCGCTATTTGGAAATTAGAATTATTGTCAATACGATGATATAATGCGATTGTTCAATATGAAACATTGTTGTATTTCTAATTGCAATTACATGGTGTGCTACTGTACACAGCATTTTACAAATGACTTCAAATATCATCATGAATATTATTGTTATTAAAATGAATTTTTAGTACCAAATTAAATTTATTTATTTAAAATAAAAAATACTTGAGAAATAATGGCATTTTATGTTAACAACATCCATCCTAAATCATACCATAGTGAGCTGATGAGTAAAGACAGTGCCCCCAAAATTTGTTATAATAAAAAATGCAGGTTCTATAGTACATGTATATAGCCCCATAATGATAGATGGCAATGAGTTCACACTATCATAGAGGATACTTTAGATCACTGTTCAAGCCACATGAACACAAGAATTGAATGACTTTACTGTAATTGTATAGCTCATTATTTTAATGACAGGAAGCTGTCATAAAAAAAATAAAATTATTTTACATCGTTGACTGCAATGACTAGTTATCAATCAAATGAACCATTCATACAAATGTATGTTGTACATTATGTATTAACTTCATAAAATAACATAAGCTAGCTAGCTATTATTGGTAAAATGAGGTCTACGCTCAAGACTACATGTATATAATGTGATCTCTACACAAAATTCCTGAATTCCTTTTTATATTTCTCCCTGTGATGATCTATTTATACAGTTTGTAGACAACTAAAATAAACCATTAACATAACAATAGCCACCTGCTTGACAATTCTAAATTAAATTCTAATTTAAATTTGACAAGTAGAGAACCTGACACATCAATATATTACCTAGTTCTTGTTTTGTGAATATTTTAACTGTCATAAATAACTAGAATTTTCACTACTAATTTTCCTGAGCCAGGAAAATTATGTTTTTCTCAAAACAGAAAATTAATTCATTAGTTATCAAATTTAAGATATGTAATTTTGTTTCTAGTAATATAGTTGGAACATAAACATGTCAGAAGTATAGATTCAGAAGATGATGCTTGATTATGATTACATTCAGTATCTTGTATCTGATTGTCAAATAAGTAATTGTCCATATTGAGAAATATTGCTCTGGAACAGCATTAATTACAACAAAATGGCCTCTGGTCAGCCATTTTGTAATCTGTATATCTATGACATTATGTATAATGAATAAATAAAATTTGAACATAATCAGTCAAAGCATGTCAGAGATAAGGCTCTAGAACTGCAACCATTAAAACAAAATGGTCGCCAGTCAGCCATTTTGAATTGGATATAAAACACAAAATGATTTGCATAAGGGACCATAATGTCTAATGTAAATGTATGTACCAAGTTTGAACAAAATCCATCAATAAACGACCAGGTCCGGTTTTGAAATGCCAGAAATGCTTGATTTTTGATGATTTTTTAGCACAAAAATGGCTACTATTCAACCATTTTGAATTGAATCATCAAACCAATATCTGTAAATCTATGACATGATATATAATGAATATATAAAATTTGAACATGATCAGTCAAAGCATGTCAGAGATTAAAACATTATAAAATTCCTCAAAACAAAATGGCCACCAGTAGGCAATTTTGAATCCAATCTGAAAAACAAAATGATGTGCCATAATGTTCATTGTATGTACCAAGTTTGATCAAAATTCATCTGTAAACAGCCAAGAAATGCTTGATTTTGATGATTTTTTTAGCACAAAAATGGCCATTGTTCAGCCATGTTGAATCAGATCATGCAGATTGATGTGGATATGTATAATATTAAGCATGATGTATGTGTGTAGTTTGAATGCAATCGGTCCAGGCATGTATAAGATATAAGTCTGCACACACACAAACGAACGTACACAAGAATACACACACAGACGCACACACAGAGGTCAATCCACAAGTTCTTGTTTACGAAAGGTGTCCGAACTGGCACTATAATATTACACATACAAACATATGGCAGTTTGACAACTGTCAATTTTACACCATTACTCAAGCAAGCTATTTATAGCAACTGTCAAACTATAACTGGTATCTGATAATACCAACAAAATGACGTGTACACATGTACCATTATCCTTCGTAATGCACCACCAACAAACAATTACATTTAGCAGTGAGGGAATTGTTAAAAATTAAAATGATACATTTGTATGAGTGGTTTAAAAATTAGTTAGAATGATAGGGTTAGAGTTTAGGATACAATATAACACTTTTATACTGTCATTAATTGGGTAATTTTTATTGTAGTGCACTTCACTATATTTGTTTTTATCAACAAAACATGATTCCTACATGATATCTACTACTGTAAAATACTTTATTTTCACTGGAATTTATTTTCGCTGAAAAGACTTTTTAGGTGTGTTACTGATTTTTGGCGAGTTGAATGTAAAAGATAGAAAAAAAGGTATATTCGCTGGATTTTCTTTTCACTGAATCATTCCTTCAGCAAAAATAGCAAAAATTTATTCCAAGCAAAAATAAAGTATTCCACAGTATATTTGAATTTAAATTGTGAACATGATGTGTGTGTTCGACTTTTTAATGTAATCAGACCAGGCATGTCTGCATGAGATATGCATGCACCGATGTAAGTCAGTTTGAGGCCCAATATAACTGCATGAAGGCACTGTTTGGCATCAAGTCACATGACATACACATGGGTAAGAAGACTATGTGTTAACATACCCCGCTAGGTTGAGGTAGCTGTCTGATTGGACAACCAAATAATATGGCTTCTAAATTAGACGATGGCATTCTGGCGCTGTTGGAAGTTGATAATTTCTGGAACCATCCTGACTTGACAGGTTTGGAAAAACTACAAAAAATTTTCAATTGAATTAGACATATTAATCATATTAATAAGAAGAAATTGACTATAGAGGTCAACATTTTTAAACAGGAAATTAATCACCTTGGCCAATAAATGCCTATATGTAGTTCAACAAGTGACCCAAAAGTTGAAATAGCTCCACTGTCCTAGAAAAACATTGTGGCAGTCAAGTCAGGCAATGCACACCCATAAGAAAAATTGGGGTTAACACACACAAAGTACTTTGGTTCTGGCTGTTGAGAACATGTCAACTTAACTTCATCAGCAGAAGTTGGCAGAAGAATTCGAAAATATCATTTCATATATAATTGAAGATATTGTCACTAAATGAACAAATCTGACGGAGGTCCATATAAGGTACCTACATACCAAGTGTTAAAGCAATTGAGTTGGTAGTTTTTCAAGTAGAAGCCAAAAATGTAATTTTTGACAGACGACAGACAATTACTTATATGAACAGTTCCACTCTGTCATCTACAATGACAGTGAAGCTAATAAAACTAAATATTCATCTCTGCTTTAGTGACTACCATATTCTTTAAGAGATGTGCTTTCAATAGAGTATTAAATAAGATTATTTGCTTTTCTTTCATGACATGTGATAGTGTGTTAACCAATCAGCACAATGGTTTTAGAATTTACTAATTGATATGACTCTGGGCAGGAATCTCCAATATAAGGTGCATGTTGTAGTAGAAATATGGATGATACACAAACACTAGAATCCATGATTAGGACTAAATATGACAGCTCTAAAAGCGCCATTTTTTCCTAGTCACCATTGGTAACCAAATTCAAATTGTGGAAAATTTATTAGCCAAGCACAAAATTGTTGGTTGCCAGAATTGATTAAGTTTTACAAATACATAACAAACTAAACTAAGTACAAATACATATATCTATTCAATGAAAACCTATTCTATTAAACCAAAAGACTTTTGAAATTTGTTCCCACAACTATCTGCAGGGATATGCAGATGTGCAAATAGTTGAATTGAATTGTGGGTAGATATAAATTATGTTTTATGTTACAGAAAGTATTTGTCACCAGGCAGATTTGTTTTTAGACAGTGAGCTAGATATTTTATTCAATCACAATTCACTAAATTTAATCGCCATGGCAACCAAAATGGTCACAATCTAGAGGGCTATGTGACTTCATAAAGGTGTAAGCTTACCTGATTGATGGTTGATGTATTGCTAACAATGTTCCATGAATTGTAGCAGTGACTGCTGACAAGTGGAAATAGTCAAATAGTACTGGTACGTGGTGATGGAGACCTTTCTTGAGGTCGAAATGTAACTTCAGTGTTCTGCTACAGGCAAACTGTAGAGCCTGGGCATCAGTTGGTCTTGAAACAAACAAAAAAACAAATGTGTAATCAGAAACAGTAGAAAGGTCTTATTTTATTCATTATGGACAGATACGACCTTGGGTCGCAAAAGTTGTATCCAGTCTATAAATATTCATCATATACCGGTACCTTATAGGGTTCATTAAAAAAATGCAATTGTTTAGATCTACTGGTGCTTTAGTTATCTTCATTGTTAATCTTACTTCTACCATTATTCAACTGTGCACAGTGTGGATTGATTTCACAACATCAACAGGACGTGCGTGTGTTCTAACATTTGATCGCGCTCCCAACTTCTTCCAACTAGAACTCCCGCTCGAATCCTGACCAGAACATGTGATCGAAATGAGGATAGAGTTGACCTCTAAATATCATCCTGTGTTCAAAGCTAGTTGTAGGTAATGTGATTGATATTTTTATAACATAACATAACACAATATAACACAACACAACACAACACAACACAACACAACACAACACAACACAACACAACACAACACAACACAACACAACACAACACAACACAACACAACACAACACAACACAACACAACACAACACAACACAACATAACATAACACAACACAACACAACACAACACAACACAACACAATATACTGTCAAGATCAATACAGACTGGAATGTCATCTTTGGCATCACTACGTGTATGTACGATAACCGACTGAAATCAGTTTGAAGTGCGTGTCTCTCTAAGTCTATATTAGGAATATTTTTGTCCAAATATGGTAAAACAGGACCAAGTGTGAAATGGAAAATTATTGCATGAGTTTCATAGTGTTACGAGGGTGGGCAATATGAAGTATATGATAATGGTGTCTATTATACAAGTACATGCATGATATTTTCGTGCATGTTCTTTCCTTTTCACAATGTTGCAAAGTTGATTTTAAACACCACAACTGTAGCATTCGATATGGGTATGTGCAACCTTTACACAGAAATTCAACTGTGGTGCTAATAAATTATAATTTAATAATGAAATATTTCTACAAATTTAAGGAAAAGTTTTAGGCGTACTTAATGCAAACTGTTACCTACATCATGCATTGTGTACATGTATGTGACTTGCAATACTATAACAACTCACCCTATATCAGTATCTGAAAAGTATAACTCCAGAACCAGCTGGAAAGGTATGTCATTTATGCATTCCTCTATCTGTATGCAGAAAAAAACAACAATTAGAAAAGTAACGCAAGGTGTAGCTCACCTTTCTAATAAGACACACTCAGACTTTTTGACAAAGAGAGCTCAATTAAGAAAGTAGGCAATAGACCATTTTTCGTTCACTGCGAGAATCACGCGTTATGCGTGAAATCGAACGTAAAAACAGGACAAACAAAGGTCATAGCGTCGTAGTGGCGTCAAACATCGCGTGGGATTCGACAAACGCGAAAGTATTTCGGGGACATTTCCATGCTTAATAATGTGCTGTCCACATTTGATGATAGGCAATTTCGATTAAGTGAGGGTATTCGGAAGCAATATTCCTCTGTCGAAGATCAGCCGGTCGATGTGAGCTACGAAATAAAGAAATTAGAGTTGAAAATCAAATCGTTCGATTTTTACAGCAGATGTTCGATGCGCGTCTTTCATGCATCTCGCGAGATCTCGCAATTGTACGGAAAATCACCTATTAAATTATATTCTTTCATGTACAATATTTAGAGAAGTAGCCTGCAAGCGAGCCATCAAGGAAATATTGACAGAATTAAGATGAGAGCTCAATATGTACCCCTATTCCTATTCTAGTGTTCATACATGTACATGTATCCTAAATTGCCCATCCTTACCGGATTCTGTCGTAAATTCGCCCAGGGCCGTTAAACAGCAGTTCAGGTTTTTCAGGTTTTTAAAAAAATAAAATGGGACCAAGAAACTGCCAAGGGCGATTTTTCGGCAGTTTTTTAAGGTGTTATTTTAATCCTTTCTGATGCCTACAAGTTTCGCCATAGTCATTGACACCTATTCAAGAGTATTGATGTTTATTGCGACTAACGTGAATGGGTTAGCTTCGTTTGGACAATGAGCTGTTATCACTGTAAATAATGTTAAATTATTCTTCAAATGCTCAGTTTATCTTTTGAAAACAACTAATTTGTTTTTATTTAAAAACAAGTCATGCTGCTTTCCCATCAAATAAGGGCCCACCAGCCATGAAACCACCCAGGGCGATTTTTCAGATGGGGGAATTTATGGCAGAATCCGGTACAACACAAATAGTACAGTCTGAGCATAAGCATTAGAAAGCTAAAAACTGGCTTGAATCTAGCTTAGTTTCAATTGTCAAGTATCTAAATTGCACAAAGTAGTAATATAGGTAAGTACTACAAAGAATACGTTGAAATTATTGATGGCATTGATACATGTACTTGCTTTAACCAGACATGAAGTCAGTGTGTTCCCATATGGTAAAGGGTGGTGGTCATCACAAATTTAACATATTTTACACACATTGAGTACATACATGTACATGTAGCTTAGAGTCCCATATAAACAGAATGTGGTGTGATGACTGCTGTCCCTTTCATTAATTGATAACTATACAAATTAAATTTAGCAGAATAATTTAAAACTAGTACAAGAACATTCCCAATTGAAGATTTTGCTGGTCAAGTAAGGTTTATTGATATTAAGAACGGCAACTACTAAAAATTACATCTAATTAATATGCAAATAGCTATGCAGATTATTATAAAATAATATCACACAAACATCATACATAGAAATGGTTAATTAGTATGCAAATTAGCTAATTAATATGCATATATATTAAATATTTGTCTATACAAACAGCAAGTATGTACAAAATTTCAATCAATTTGAGTAAAGTGTTATAATGTACAAACATGCTAAACCAAATAATTATGCAGATTAGCTAATTAATATGCATATATATTAAATATTTGTCTATACAAACAGCAAGTATGTACAAAATTTCAATCAATTTGAGTAAAGTGTTATACATGTACAAACATGCTAAACCAAATAATTATGCAAATTAGTTAATACGCACATATTAATTTAGAAGCTGTAACACATTGATCTACACAAACAGCAACATGTACAAATTTTCAATCAATTTAAGTAAACTGTTAAGATCTAAAGAACATGATAAAATCAATTAAATATACAAATTAACTAATTAAAGTGCCTAGAATAATTAGGTCATAAAATTACACAAATAAAAGTTTTAATCAGTTTGAACATACTATTAAAATATATGCAAAGCAGTCTGAAATTATTTATTGTTATGCAAATTAGTAAATTAATCTCAAACATTTAACTAAACATACTTTATACGGGTACCACGCTATTTGACCAAACTAGTACTATGGTAACGCACAGAATACGCAAGCTGAAAACAGTTAATTAATAAGCTAATTAGCTAATTAATATACACACATTAATCTACAATATGCTTGCACAATGCATTTACTTAGTTTTAATCCATTAGAGCAAAATATTACAATACAAACAAAACATCATGACTACGGCGACAACGACAAGTCAGACATTTCCCCCTCAGATACCTTTTCCTTCATTATCATAATGGGCAACCTAAAAACAGTTAATAGTACCTCAGTAGCTTTTGGATGTGAACTTGAATAAACAACTAACATTTACCCTACTTCAATCTAAAAGCTTTTACAACCCTTGGTGATAGTAAATGCATTATTAAAGCAGTGATTGGTACATGAAGGTGAAGTTGAAACCAGATATCAATTTAAATGCCACTCTGTGTTTTTACATGAACCTTTCAAATGCCACAACAAATGGCAAATTTCTGCAATTTTGATTTCCAGTGTAATTTAAAGGACACCAGACAGCTGAGATGCCAATGTGCTAGGTCAATTAATATCATACCCAAAGTATCTTTGCATTTCAATATCACAATCTCAGCTTTCACATAAATACCATCCATGACCTTTAAAACCTTTAATAATGTCATCATTTTCACCACAAAAAATGACAATGTACAATTTCACATATATTTATGTATTTTTCTATAATTTCTTTCTTATTTTTAGACCAAATTGACATAATTTCCCATAGGCTCTCATGAGTAATATCATGGGCTTAATCATTCATGAATCCCAAATTTCCATAGTTCACATAGTTGAGATATTGATGGAAAAATTGAAAACTGACTAATTATGAAAATCAGGTAACAAATATGCTCAGATTTGTATATAAAACTAATAAGGTCTGCGCAATGTAACAGACCATCTATATACCAAGTTTCATTAAAATGTGATTAGAACCAAAAGTTATGAATTATTATGCTAATTAGGGAATTATTATACACAGATTTTAACCCAAAATTAATCAGGTCTGTGCACTGTCCTAGAACATCTATGTACCAAGTTTCATTGAATGTGATGATTAGTATCTGAGATATCAGTGTGAAAGCTAAAAATTGGTTAATTATCCAAAATAGGTGATTAATATGTACAAGTATTTACCCCAAAATAACCAG